TATGTATATATATATGTGTGTGTGTATTGTGTGTGTGTTTGTGTGTGTGTGTGTGTATGTTTGCTCGAGGCCCGTGTCCATAGCATACATATAAATCTACTACGGCTGAGTATTTGTAGCACAAATGCATAATTCACAACTTGGGAAGCACATGAGAACTGAAGTTATACAGACAGATATGCGTGCTTGCAGAAAGTGCGTATAGCATACAATATCACGTACAACAAAGCTAGGATAAGTTAAGTCGTGGAGCACACATTGTCGTACGAAGTTAAGGCGAGCCTGGTAATCTTTGTGTGCACTTGCCAGTAGGCTTCAATATATATACAAGTAAAATAGCTCAAAACCACACATCAAGAATCAAGATATCAATATATTTAATAATATATATTGTACGTTTTCTATAACATAATGTAGGATCGTATATATAATTATGGTCTACTCCAACATCTTGGCGATCTCGGCCTCGTAGTGTTTCTTCAGATTGTTGCGCTGCAGCTTTAAACTAGCGGTGACTAAGCCGCTTTCGGGCAACCATGGGTCGGGCTTCAATGAATAGTTTTTGTGGTGTTTCAAACTTTGCGAGTTTGTTGCCTTTTGCTTCCTTTTGCAAGGATGCTAGAACTTCTGCGACAATCTTGGGATCCTTCACAAGCTCAGCCCATTCCTTCTGGATGCCATTCTTCTCCGCAAAAGCAGCGATTCCTGGTGGCAGGACCGTTACAATCGCGATATAATAGGAGTGGAAGGGGTCGGCATACACCATCATATTATCAATGTAGTTCGCTGCCTTCAACATACTCTCTACCTTCCCTAGAGACACGTATTTGCTTTGTTGCAGTTTGACCAAATCTTTTTTTTCGATCAATGATCTGCAGGTTTCTATTTTTATGTATCTGTCCGATATCGCCAGTGTGGAACCACATCTGACCAGATTCGTCCCTGATAAATTCTTCTGCCGTCTTTTCGGGCAACTTGTAGTAGCCGCTAGCGATACATGGACCACTCAATAAGATCTCGCCACGAGGCATACCGATAGTCTTATCATCCTTGTCTGTGACCTTGTAGTTGCCTTCTTCCCAATCCTTAAACTTCACATCTACAACAGCTAGAGGTCCTCCAACCTTACCGAACGAGTCACGATCTTTATCGGATGCAATAGTACCGGACGAGCAAGTTTCGGTGAGACCGTAACCTTGACACACAGGTACACCAAACATAACGATGATAAACCACTGCGAATCAGCTGCCAGAGGCGCACCTCTGGAGAAAATATCCTTCACACGACCACCCAGAACTGCCTTGATCTTGTTGAATACGATGGCGTCCCAGATAGGTGTGCCCTTTCCTTTCTTAATGGCCGCTTTCTTGGACTTAAAAGCCTTGTTAAATAACTTCTGAACCAGAGGCGATCCGGCGGCCACTTTACCAGTCACGGCCTGGCGAATACGGTCCATGATGGTAGGCACTGCTGCCAAGTAGGTAGGTCTGAGCTCACTGATATCTCCCTTAGTCCCTGGTTTGATCTTGGGCGAGTTATCCGTGAGAGTAAGGGCGCCGCCATAACCGACCATACAGCCATTAATTAGCAGGAAATTCTCGGCGCACAGGGCAAAAATATGGGCTAAAGGTAGGAATCCAATGAAACAATCTTCTCCAGGAACAACATCCGGTAGGGCCTCCTTCAAGCCGATGCATGCGGACACCATATTGTGATGTGTAAGCATGACACCCTTGGGCAGACCTGTGGAACCGGACGTGTACATATTCACAGCAATGTCCTCAGGCTTTGGTTCGACAACTGTAATATCTGAAGCCTTTCCAGTTTTAATGACCTCTTCAAA